CTAGTTATTTATTTCTTATTTGCATTATTATATATAACTATATGGAATATCATCTATATTAATTTTATAAATTAGTTATAAAATTATTAAGTTAGGCTTAACTTTAAGTTTCATGTTTCATTATCATTCATATACAAGTTCAATCCTTTCATTCACCAACTATTCACCTCTCCCTCTCTTTCTTTTGATCGCTCAAGATGACAATATTAGTTTACCCCATCTTCTTCAGATTTGTGTTGTTCATACAAACATGACAATTGTTATAAGTTTATTTTAGTGGTATCCATATCAATAGAAAGGGTTTGTTTACAATTTATGAGAGGAGCAAAATAGGTAAAATTCATATTTACATGTCACTTATTACAGTAGCTAAGATCTATTTTCCGTCTATATTGAATATGCTCCTTAATATTAATGACTTTATTATTTTTTAGAAGTGATTCAATAGAAAAAAAAATGTCAAAATTTTAGAGCTATCATGAATACAATAATATTTGTGTAAATGTCCACATCTCTCCTATTATCTTCAATATCTTCTATTATCTTTATATCCCACAGTTATCTCTATTATTATATAATATGTATATTTTGTCAAAAATATAAAGCTGTGCCTGTAAATAAAGGGCATGTATAATATATTTAGTATCTTGAATGGAATGAGAAATACTCCAATCTTTTCTTCTATCTAATTCTCTTAGTTTTATAACAAGAGCATGATAATTATCTTATTTTTTGTTTAATAGCTTTTTTAACACTTGAGCACTTGAGCTTCACCCTCCGATCTCAATATGTTTATTTGCAAATGTAATGTTTTTCGAACAATTATCCAAATAATTTTTTTTAATTTTTTGTTTCCATAACTTATCTTAAAAAATAATTTGATAAAATCATTTTGAGACAAAAAAAAAAAAAACAGGCCCTAAATACCGTATGTTCATTTTGTATACAACACAAGAAGTATCAGGTCAAAATATATTTAATAAATACATAAAATCACTTTTTTTTGTCAATTTCTATTATGTGTGTATATATATATTTATGATTTTAACTTAAAATAAAAGGCATTGAGTTATTAAGCATATCTTTCCCATAATTTCCCTACTCAACATAATAATCATTAATAAGTCGCAATGTTAACAAACCGTGAATGATACAGCTTGTTTTAAGCCCCATACAATTGCATGGAGCCCACTTCAATCAATTCAGAACACCAAATAAGATCATTGCAAATAAACATTTGCTCAGATACTATGAGAAGAGGATCCAGCGATAACATTTCAAAACATAGGAATCATTATCGAGCTACATAGCTTCAGAATCAGAAGATCGGCTAGTAGCTTGAGGGCAACAAGAGATGCAGCAAAATGACCACAAAAGCTTAGTAACAATCATCTGAGTCTGAGAAGATTGATCATTTGAAAAGGCTAAGAGTATCATATCCTTATTCCCAACATTAGCTGATTCAAGCCATGATGATCTCTGCAAATCACAGATGATTCCATCAACATAAACAGAAATTGCTCTCCCAAGAAGCTCCATTCCAGAAATTGGAGTATTGCTTGTCATCAGAGTCAGAGGATAGTCATTATTGTGCTGATCTCTTTGATTTATGGTGTCAGCAGAGTTCTTCTTCTTCTTTGTTACCATGGAAAACTTGTTGTTATAACCAGGGTAGTCTTCTTTCTTGAAATCAACACACTCTATAATATAAGTCTCAGAAAGCTTAGATTCCCAAGTTTATTAATATTCTAGTTATTGAATGGGGGCGTGGTCTTGTGATTTACATGGATTTCACCATTGGGTCTGAGCATGCTCCTTGCATTCATAAAGAAACCGCGTACAAGGTTCTGATGTTTCCTGTGAATAAAATGTGCAAGAACAAGGACGCTAAAGCCTTAGCATACAACTAGGAAAGAATATAAAATCATGCCCCTTTTATATTAGATGGGCGTGCGGTGTAGAGCCAAATATCCTCCTCTGTTTAGGGGGAGAGAGAGAGAGTGAGTGTGTGTGTGAACACATCTATCTAATGTGCATGTGCAAACAAACCCATGCATGCGCACCCACGTGCTTAAGTACACATCTCACTCTACATAACATGCAAATCCATGTGTAACAACCCTCGTAATTAATGATAAATAAATATTTTTAAAACGATAATTATTTCAAAATATTAACCATGGTAGGAAGGACAAAACTAATCAAATAGAAATCAATCATAGTCATTAAAAATTTATTTCCATAACCGAGCAATAGCTACTATTCTAGAATAATAAAGATAGTTAATGAAATAAGGAGTAATCAACACTTGATTTTTCACGTATGTATCAAATCCATCAATAATACTCTGGAATCTCAAAATATAATTAAGACCATTGGTAACTGGGCTAGAGCCTTTGAAGCCTGTCATAATAACAGTTATTACCGCCCATAACAATCGTAACCAAAATAAAAGTCACATATGTGTTTAAAAGGGTTCCGCCCAACAGCAAAATTTCAAAATACAGCGGAAAAGTTAAAATTATATTAAGTATAACAAAAAGGCCATCAAGTTTGGCAATATACATATTTTAAAAATTTCTAGTAGATTATAATATTTATAAATTGATAAATAATTAAAAAAAACAATGAGTCTGTTCGGTGTTCACAATGTTGCAACAACGAAATAGCTGTATATATAGACAATTAAGATAAAATATGATTACCACAAGTTACATTAAAATCAGTTTCTGGTCAATTCCTACTATTTCTTTCATATTCTTGGTGTGGTCCAGAACTTGCACTTGAACTATAAAGAGCATGAATAATTAATTATGCACCTTGTGTAGAATATAACTGGCTAAAGTAACATCCAGCACCTAATGTCACTTTTCAGATATACCCCATAACTAATCTTATTTACAGTACATTTAACACCATAATATTATTTTTTTGTGTGCTTCTTGCGCTCTAATTTTATTTGTAGTGTATCACGTGCTCTAAACCATAAATAAGATTACAATGTGGATGTAAGTAAAAAATAATACTACCTCCGATCCTAATTATAAGACCTCGATCAGAGATGGTATCAGATTGCTGAATACATTATGAATAAGATTAGGATGATAAATGTACTTGAAAAATAATATCAATGTGTTAGATGTTATTTTATCTAATACTATCTCCGGTTGTAAATATAAGAGCCAGTTGACTAATTTGAGTGGATTAAGGAAATAAGTTAAGTTAGTTATTTGTTATAAATAGGTATTATATTTTCTAAAATATCCTTGCTAATCAAGTGTATTGGCTATAACTACCATTATTAGAAGGACTACCTTGGGAACAAAATGAATAAACATGATAGACAAAGTGGATGGGGGTCTTATATTTAGAACCAAAATAAAAGTCAAACGAAGTCTTATATTAAGGACTGGAGGTAATATAGTTTTTTAAGAAGTTTTAACGTTGACAAGTTTTTTTTTCGCTTTTTGCCAACCACGAGTTGTGAACAATATGACCCTTTATATTTAATCACGGGGATTTTAAATAGGTGTTTAGAAATTTTTGAATATTTTTTTGCAGATAATTTAACATCGCTCATGTTGCAAGAATTGATGCTGGAATTCATAGCTTGATTATATTATCACTGAAGTCCCAAATACTCCTTTGATTACTCGTGTGATCAATCTTGCCACGCTGATCTTCCTCATGATAAAATGATCTTATCTTTGAAAATATTCATTAATATTGTCAAAAATCAAATACTATAGCCGTTACAATCAGATTCAAAAACAGAATGATATTTATTTTCTATTTTATGTTAATGATTTAATATTTTCATTTTGATTCTAAATATATGAGTTAGATAACTAATTTTTAAAAATTATAAAAAAATTAGTTAGATTAGTTATTTATTAAAAAAAATATGTGTTGGTTTCTTTAAAGTATTTTTTTCAATTATTTGCATTGAAAATTGATCCCTTATTTGAGAACTTCTTTAATACATATAACCAATATGAAGAATTTAAGAAAAATTTATAAATTTGAAAGACAAAAAAATTATTAAGATTTTACATTTAGGCCAAAAAGAGTAATTAATTCAACTATTAGATCCAGTCCTTAATATAAGAACTAGTTGACTAATTTAAATGGATTAAGAAAACTAGTTAAGTTAGTTACTTGTAATACATAGGTGTTGTTTTTTTCTAAAATATCTTTGCTAATCAAGTATATTGACTAGAACTACCATTATTATAAGGATTATTCTGAGAAAAAATAGATATATGTGAGAAACAAAGTGGATTGGGGTATATCTAGGACCAAAATAAAAGTTAAATGAGCTTTTATATTAAAAACCAGAGATAGTACTTATGATAAATATATCAAATTTAAATTTGAATTTTAAGCTGAAGTCAATGAATCTGCAAAAGTCTACTTGCAATGCATCATGATCAAATTCACTGGACCATTCAAAATATCCGCTCATAAGTGAAAGTTTTTTTTGTCACTAATATTAATATTGTTAGTATTTTAACTTGCAGTTATAAACCTAATCACCAAACAATTCATGAAACCGCATGCATGTGAAAGGAATTTGGAATTAAATCTATCATTCAAATGTTGTTCAGAAAGACCAATATTTCATCAGCTGATCCAGTCAAAGAGGAAATTGAGAATAAGGCTAAATTCAGCATGTATTTAAGCACGAGAAATTTCTAAAACATAATTAAGATGACGTACTTACACGCAACTGTTACTCTCAGATTGTAAATGTAAGAGGCAAATAACTAATTACAGAGATTAAAAAAGTAAATTATTTATAATAAATGTGTATTTATTTCTCCAAAATACTCTTTAACTATTTTTAGTACTATTCTTATTGATGAAAACTTCCAATTGATATATGCGACTAACAAAGATAGTTTGAGTGAAAATTATGAAATTGAAAGACAAAATACATTTAGGTATTATATTTGGATCAAAGCAAACATGGAGTAACATTTTGGCATATGGAATTTACATTTTTATGTTCATGTGGGTCCCTCAAAAGATAAGACCCACATCACCCTTCAATTTCTTTCTCTTCATTCAACACAAGGTACTTTAGAGATCCAAGTTAACACCAAACTGCACGGCTTCACAAATGCAGCTATTAGCTGCAGGCCAACAAAGGAAGCCAAAAGATAAGCAACAAAAGCCACAAAAGAAAAGTTTAGCAACCAGAATGAGAAATTGAGGGGCTTCATTTCCAACTCCAGAACCACCTGGCATGGTAGGGCCTAAGGGTATCATGTTCATCTCTAACCTTATCATTTCAAAGGCGCAAAACATTACTGGATTTAGGCCATGATCGTCTCTGCAAGTCAGAACTAATTCCATGAACATATTCAGAAACAAATCTTCCCCCCATCATATCCATATTTCTAACATGTCCTGTTGTTGGATAACTAAACTCAGTTGATTTAGGCCATGATGATATCTGTAAGTCAGAACTGAATCCATGAACATAACCAGAAACTTGTTTTCCCAGAATCATATCCATATTCATAACATAATCTATTTGTGGATGCCCAAACACAGTTGATTCAGACCGCAATGATCTCTGCAGATCACAACTGGTTCCACCAACATAACCAACTCTTCCCAGAATCTCTACTCCACCGTTTAAGTAGCCTCCTCCTCCTTCTAATATTGGAAGGTGTCCATTTCTGCAACTAATTGCTGATGGTGGTGAGTGAGGATTGAGGCTTATCAGAGGGTAGTGATGATTACTGAGAGTTCTTTGGTTTGTGGGGTAGGATTCATTCTTTGTCAACAAGGCAAACTTGAATGTGCTGCACTTACCGAGGTAGAAAGGCTCATCGCTCCTGGACCCATCACCTCGCTTGTTATTATAACCCGGGTAATCTTCTTTCTTGAATTCCACACACTCAATTGGCCATAGAAAGCTTTGGATCCCAAGTTCCTTTATGCACCAGGCATCAAATGGCGGTTTGGTCTTGTGATTAATATGAATTTCACCCTTGGACCTCAGCATGCTCCCTGCATTCATAAAGAACCCACGTACAAGGTCCTTGTGTTTCCTGTAAATACCCCAAAAAAAAAAAAAAAGGACGCTAAAGCCTTCACATACACAAACTAACTGGAGGAGAATTTACAATAATTCACTTAGAATGCCGTTACATATCATAAAATCATCAATATAAGAATATATCAATCAATATTCACGAGTTACAAATAGTGCAACTTATTCCTTAAACTCGGTGCAACATATAGAAAGATGTGTCAAATTGCATCAATAACAAAACAACTGAAACCAGACAAAAGAGTTTGTGTGCGTATTGAGGGGTAGGGAGATGCATAATTACAAAAATCTTTGGATATAAGGAATATCAAGTTCTATACTAGTAGGGTCAATAATCTTCATAAGCTGTAATGACCAAAAAGCCCTTGCTTTTTGCTTGATAGACAGATAGGGGTACTTGGAGTTTTTCCTCCTGAAAAATTATCACATGCAAGAGCATTGAAATAATTTCCTCACAACATAACAACTGCAAGTGTCCAATGAAATGACAGAATCACCCTTGCCCATGCATTGTCTTTTAGTGAAAGTACCAGAGCTTGTTAGTTAGAATAATCAATGTTTGGACGTACAAATAATACAACACATGCAAGTTTCAAATGTATATATGTTTACACACACTATATCTTTGCATATTTTCTATCGCAAACCATCTTATACATAAGCAGCCAAATGCTAGGAAAACTAAATGGTTCATGTACCAAACCGAATCGGCTTAAACTAAAAAGCACAAATGTACAGCAGAATCATTAGATTAATGTATGAGGACCAGATATCAAGATTGCCGCTTATTTTTCTCTGTTGAAAATCAGACTTTGAGCAAGAGAAATTGCCATGTCTGTACAATCCCTTAGAAAAGCTTAAACACAATAATTATGGAAAGATCCGAGATGATTTTACACTATGCATCTAACACAGTCTTTATATTGCATTACAGACACACACAGATGTTAGACAATAGTAACAAAATTCTAACAGGGAACTCACTGAATCATGGAGAAGTTGTCTTCTTTGCCATGAAAGCCCGCATGAGGGAAGTTGAATATAATTCTATCAAATCTCCTCATTTCCAAGTATGGATGAAATTTCATTTGGGTTGCATCAACTCCATGCAACACACATGCTCTCATCTTTGTTAAGGCAATCAAATTTGACGTTGCCTTCTTGTACTTCCTCACAACTTGATCTTAATGAACAGCAAAAGCAATCAATGACATGACAAACATTCAACACTGTAGTAACAACAATTACGAAAAGCAGAAGAGTAAACCAGATCGATCGAATCCACAATCCACAACTTTGATAACATGCATAAAAGTAGAAACAAATCATTCAGAGAACAAAATCGATAAGATGCTCATAGAAAAGTGGAAGAATAGTATATAAACACAAGCACTTCCACAAATCATGAAGAATTAGAAAACTAGCCAGGAAAGTAAAGATCAAGGCGAGATTCATGTCTAAACTAAGCTTCATTAGAATACCAAACGATAGTCAAATATTTAGTTCCTTGACTCCCGCTAGAAACTCTTCGTAGGGTATGCAAAATACAAACGACAATAATAAATAAATAAATATAAGGCCAAATGTTAAGATTTATTTACATGGGGTTAAAATCACAATTGAGAAATCTTCCGGTCATCAATGATCCGTTCAGCGAAATCGCAAAGCACAGCTTGACTTCCTTTGGATGCTTAGAAAAGAACAAGCGAACAGAAACCAAACTCACTTAGATGAACAACGTCCTCGTTTTGCAAACTACTAAGGGAAAATAATAGTTATTTCAAGAGGGAAGGAGGTGAAAAACAAACACTTAACGTGGTATTAATAAGAAGCGTCATCATCAAGCAATCAGAAAAACCTTATGCAATTTTAGATAACTCCAGTATTCAAAGCAACATCTGTCACGACGAAGGGGGAAATTTTGAAGAAGAAACATTGCACACACAAATGTAAGAGCGCAGAGAGAGAGAGAGAGAGAGAGAGAGAGACCATAGGTGTCAAGGGAAGAAGCAACGATGTTGAAACCTGAACCAAAGGACTGAGCCAAGGAAAGGGAGAAGGAGAAATCACCCTCACCCACCAACAATATTTGATGATGCGAAGAATAATATTTGACCCATTTTTCTCCTCCATCATCACTCCAATCGACAAGCTTCTGCCTTTTGTTCTGACAGCTCATTTGTAAAGCCATTGCTTCCCCTGCCCCCTGTGCATACAAATTACGAGGTTTCAAACTTCCTATATGGAAAACGTAACCTTCCAACGTTTAAAAAGACTGAACAGTGCTCTTTTGGAGAGCTATGATGCGAAAATCAGAAGGTAAAATAGGTGGAAACTTAATGACCCATGTCTTCAAGCTTATAGACCCCATGAACTGTATCAAATCAGATCATCCACGCATCACATTTTGCTGAAGTGGGGGAGGAATGGATGAGGAGGGTGCTCAACTTCAGCGTAAAAATGGATGGAAGCGGGTATTAGATTTGAAGTTGGAAATTAATTGGCCGCCAACATTGAAGCTCTTGAATCTCAACTTCAGAGACGCTAGCAAGCTTGGGTGCTCTGCAACTTTCCTTTCCCCATTCTCCGTCGTCCAGCCCCTATGCTTTGATTGTGTTTAACATTAATTAAAAAAGTTCTAGATGAATGAAACCAAACAATCAGAATAGCTTTTGAAAAATAGACTATGAGAGAATAGATTTTGTAAAAAATATATTGTGAAAAAGTGATTTTAAGAAGTGAAAGCGTTTGAATAGTTGTTATCAAAACACTTTTTATATATACAAATTACTAAAAAAAGCATAAGTTAATATAAGAATTATATAAAGAGAAAATTCTAATTAAATACATTTGAAATAGAAAAATCTTAATTTAAGCCTACATTTTTAACAAATTCTTAATTAGGCCAAGAGGCCTAATTGGAGATTTCTAAATATTACTAAAAGACCAAAATGCCCTCTGTAATTAAAAAGCCTAATTTTAGTTTTAATTCTTTTAATTGAATTTAACTAACATGTTTTTTCTTTAAATATTATCATATGAAAATTTGGCCAAAAATATTATCATATAAAAAAATAAAAATAACGATTATGGCCAACAAAAAAATTGAAGAGTACAGATAAAAAAATACATAATTTCTAGATATCCATAGAATTGCAAAAATATGGGAACTAATAAAAATTTTACGATTTCAAATGTCAAAGATTAATAGGATCAAAGTTTTTTTTTGTACGAGAAAAAATCAAATAAAAGATTCATGAAATTCTTGAATATCTATCAAAATTAATTTTACTGTTTCAAAAATTACATTGAGACTCATCAATTCATCTTTAATTTTTCGGTCTCCAAGATTTATTCAATATCAAATTTTTAGTATATAAAAAATAACTAAAAGGCCATAAATTCTAGAGTTGACATAACATTCACAAGTACAAAACACAAATTTGACATAAAGTTTAAGAAAAACCACATCCTCATTAGTAAATCTACTAGAATAATTAAAACTAAAATTAGGCTTACACCTACATTCAATTTTCCTTTTTGATTATAAAGAGGCATTTTGGTCTTTTATCAACATTTGAAAATCCCTAATTAGGTCTCTTGCCCTAATTAGGAATTTGTTAAAAGTATAAGCCTTAATTGGAATTTCATTATTTCAGATGGATTTAATTGGGATTTTCCCTTATATAAAAGATAGATTTTATGACATATTTTAATATGAAGGAATAAAATTGTTAATAATATATTTTTTACCATAATTAATAATACGTAAGATAACATAATTCATAAATAATTAATATGTGTATATATATTTATAAGATATAAAATTAAATATGTTTATAAAAAAATAATTGAGGGATGTTAAATTCATATTATTGTTGAAATCTACTATGACAGGCACAATCATACTCTCCAATTTGAACCAGAAGCAGAATGGATTTACTTCTCTTGAAACTATAGTTTTGAGCTCCAAAACCATGATTTTGGCCCAAACCAAGTTTCGGATTATTTTTTCAAAATTGATGCTATTTGGGTGACATCCCACCCGTTTTGCCTCTCAAACTATGGTTTTGAGAGACACCCAAACAGGCAAGCTTAGGTTGGAAGCACTTTTAAGGATGGTTTGCCCATAAGATTGAAGGATGTTTAGAAGAACGTAAAATCACTTTCAAAAGAGTTTTTATTCGATACAAAACCCTTCTTACATACTTACTTTACCTGTCATAAAATTATTTTTAAAATTATGATTTAGTTTTTATCCAAATGCTGCTTAAGTTATAAATGAAAAATGATAAGGATATTAATTAATATTAAAAAAAATAAGAAGATAAGAGATTGAGTTATAAGCTAATGAAAAGTTTAAGAATTGAGTTACACCATATTATATAGTTAGAGAATTGAATATAAGTGAATTAAAAATTAAAAAACTAAAAAAATTAATTCTTTCTTTATTAAACATAAGTTCCTGTATACTTTCAACAAAATAAGGCTCAGGCGGAGGCTCATTGTCATTCCAAGCCTATTTAAACAAATAGCTAGACCTATTTTTGTAAAGTATAGCCTATTTATTTATTTCTTGTTTGCATTATTATATACAACTATATGTAATATCATCTATATTAATTTTATAAATTAATTATAAAATTATTAAGTTACGCTTAACCTTAAATTTCACGTTTCATTATTATTCATATATAAGTCCAATCCTTTTATTCACCAACTATTCACCTCTTCCTCTCTTTCTTTTGATCGCTCAAGATGACAGTATTAGTTTACCCCATCTTCTTCAGATTTGTGTTGTTCATACAAACATGACAATTGTTATAAATTTATTTTAGTGATATCCATATCAATAGAAAGGGTTTGTTTACAATTTATGAGAGAAACAAAATAGGTAAAATTCATATTTACATGTCACTTATTATAGTAGCTAAAATCTATTTTCCGTCTATATTGAATATGCTCCTTAATATTAATGACTTTATTATGTTTTAGAAGTGATTCAATAGAAAAAAAATATTAAAATTTTAGAGCTATTATGAATACAATAATATTTGTGTAAATGTCCATATCTCTCCTATTATCTTCAATATCTTGTATTATCTTTATATCCCACAATTATCTCCATTATTATATAATATGTATATTTTGTCAAAAATATAAAGCTGTGCCTGTAAATAAAAGGCATGTATAATATATTTAGTATCTTGAATAGAATGAGAAATGCTCCAATCTTTTCCTCTCTCTAATTCTCTTAGTTTTATAACAAGAGCATGATAATTATCTTATTTTTTGTTTAATAGACTTTTTTCCACTTGAGCACTTGAGTTTTTATTAGGGTGTTCATGTGATGGGACGGGACAGAAACTATGTAATATCCTAAAGTTTATTTTAGGTTTAAAAAAAATTCAAAAAAATAAATAAATATAAATAAAATAATAATATTTTAATTTAAATTTTTTAAAAAAGGAGTTAAAGTCAACTTTCCATCGAATTTCGGTGGAAAGTTGAATGTGAATGTTGAAATTGAGGGGTGAAGGTTGAAAGATGAGAATTGGAGTTGGGAGTTGGGAGTTGGAAGATAATTATGAGGGGACCTAATACATGTATGGGAGTGTTATTTTAACACTCCCCACAACCCAATTCCCCGGCACAAGAAGGAAAGAGAGGAAGAGAGATTAGAGTGTACATGAGAAAGAGGAGCATACCGGTGAAGCAGAGGGCAAGCTTTGAAGATATTTTAGGTACATAAAATTACTTCTTTTTATTAAAATTTCTTCATAAATATTTCCTGTATATTTTAAGCTTCCTATTTACATTATTACTATAGTGATTGGAGAAAATTTTGAGACTTATATATGATATAAGTATTGAGTTTTGATAAAAGATGACTATAGAAATTTAGAAGTAAATGAGTTGTTAATTTTAATCGGTTTAGATTTGTCTATTTGTTAGTTTTAGTATTTAAATTAATTTATTTAGTTGAAAATCTGTTATTTATGGGATATACCATATTTTTACCGATTAAATTTAAGTTGAACAATTTATTTGGGTTGTTTGACATATTATTGAGATTTCAATCGGTTTAGTTTTATTTATTGGGTGACTGGAGGTTTTAAAATAATTATTGTAGCTAAAAAGTTTATGGAAATATATATATGGTAGTTATACTATTAAATTTTTGATTAGATTATTTATTTATAAATATTTGAAGTATTATTGAATTTTTGATAGTTTGATTTTGAGGTTTAAACTTAAAATGAGATTTTTTAGAATTTAGAACATAGTAATTTTATATTTGGAAATTAGGAAAAATTCTTTTTATTAAGGTGAATAATTTGGAGGTGGTAAATAAATAATTTGGCTTGTTAGAAAATTTTAAGTTATCTCTAAAATACTAAATAATTTTTTAAGGGATAGACCTTTGTGGCTTTTTATTCGTCCCCCAATGTGTGGGATAGACCTATAATAAGAGATGGACCTTTGTGACTACTTATTCGTCCCCTAAAGTGTGAGATATGCCTATATGTCTGATTAATCCCCCATAGTGAGGGATAGACTTATATGGCTTGTGTGATAGCCCCCAAAGTGAGGGTTTGGATGATTGAAATTATATATCTATGTTTTTGAGAATTAATAACTGTCCCACTTGACACCTCACGAGCACGTGTTAGTGTGTATGATGCGTTGAAAAGTTGGTTACTGAGGCGTTTGTCTCACCCCATGGTTTTTACTATCTTCAGGTGATAGTTCAGGTGGTGACCCATCAGGGAAGGCTCTGGAGGCATAGTGTGCTCTTACAGCTTGTATAGCCTTCCTGCTTTTGTTTTATGTGTTGACTTGTTATATATTGCCACATAGGGCCCATATACTCTAATGTTGTAAACTAATACTTTTAATTACTACTATCTGATCTGGGGGGTCATTGGAAGGCCAGAGATATTTAAGACTTTGCGTATTACACTCATTTGATAGTGTTGACTTTTGACTAATGGGCTTCATGACTTATATTAAAATGTTTTATTAGTTCGTATGTTTGAAAGTATAAGTTTGGTTTGGGCGAACGGTTGAATCATATTTCTGGACTTTGAAAGTCCAAGTCCCAAGTTAATGATTGATGTGGCTCGTAATATAAGTTTATTTCTTTTAACAATGATAGCGATTTTAAAATTTTAAGGTTTCTTCTTTTCTGTCATGGTTAATCATTCAAATAAATTGTTGGATTTAAGCTAAAATGGTTTTGAAAGAACGGTTGTCACAATTTGGTATCAGAGCTAAAGGTTCTGCGAAGTGGGTTGCATTACGTTGCATTTAGTGGCAATATATAATAATCTCACATAACCTTCCCTGTTACTTTGTGTCTGTGCTTGTTCTTACTTTGTGTTTCTTTTGGTGGGTTCCATCCTTAGGTGGGGAGGATGGTACGGACGCGATCTCGACAAACCGATCAGTGTGGAGATGAATCCACAAACTCGCCTAATCAACCACCGAATCCTCTGTAGTTTAACTAGGAGGCATTACTGCAACAGTTAAGGGAAGTGGTAGTTACAGTGGTAGATGAGAGAGTAAGGAAGATGGAGGAAGATTTGAGAATCAAGAAAGCTATGGAATAGTTTGAAGGGAGTGGGCTTCCTGGGCCGTCTATGGGAAATTCTGTCACCCACAGGGGTTCTATTGAAGGAACCAAAGAAGAGAGTAGTTCACGAAGGCGACAAGGAAAAGAGGAGGCGATGAACCTTAAAAGTGTATGGAAGGACATAGAGCGGCATCATCCGAAGACTTTTGATGGGGGTATGGATCCTGATAAAGCTGAGGCTTGGATAGATGACATGGAGACAATATTCAAAGCTTGTGATTGTAATACCTATCAAAAAGTACAAGCAGCTGTGATCTTATTGAGGGACCAAGCTAAGAGGTGGTGGAGGAGCGTAAGCGGCATAGATGACTCGGGGATTACTTGGAATGAATTCAAGCAGATGTTCTTTGATCACTACTTTCCCCCAGCCATGAGACAAGAAAAAGAAACCTCTTTTTATGCTCTTCGACAAGAGAACATGCATGAGGACGAGTTTATTGCCAAATATATTGACCTCTCCAAGCATGTTACTTACCTATAGTAGAATGATAACCCAGAGTGCATGGCCCGACAATTAATAGAACGGGCGAGGCCAGAGTTGAAACAACAAATGGCTTTATATGAATTTAAGAGTTTCGAGGATGCCTGCACGAAACTCAGGATGACAGCTCGCAGAACCTGAGAGGTAGAGGAGAGCCGACGTCGGGATAATCAGGGCAGATTCTCTGGTTTTATGAGGCCAAGGGGAGGAGTCAATAAGAAGGGTAGCTATAGTTATGGGAGCTTAGGGAGCTCTAGCAGAGACAAGAACCAGAATCAGAAGGATTCAGCCCGTAGAGGCTATATGCAGAGGAGACAGGCTCAGAGGAGCCGTATGGGAGGAAATCAGAGCTTTTACCGTGAGCCTACTAGATCCACACCAAGTGTTAGCGGTCCTTGCTCGAGATGTGGGAAGAATCATCCAGGACAATGTTTGGAATGCTACAGTTGCCATAAGTTTGGACATATAGCTCGCAGTTGTCCAAAAACACGGCAGCAAACTCCTAGTTTCAGATCCACAGTGCCCGCGAGAGTTTTTTCTTTGACTAGAGAGGAAGCCGGTATGTCTCCTAATCTGATTAGAGGTACTGTCTCTCTTCAAGGACATGATATACCTGTGTTATTTGATTCTGGTGCCACTCATTCTTTTATTGCTGCGAAATGTGCTCAAAAGTTTAAATTTCTCATGCATGATTTGTCTTACATGTTGAAAGTGTCAACTCCAGCATGAGCTACTATGTTAACCACACAGGCATGTTTAAGTCTTGTGCTTAAATTTGAGAATCGTGAGTCTGTGATTGATTTGATTTGTCTACCCCTCAAGGGTATTGACATGATTATTGGCATGGATTGGCTATCAGCAAATAATGCCATTCTGGATTGCAAAAGGAAGATAGTAACTCTTCCTTTGTGCACTACGATAGTTGAGGCTATTAATGGTCGGTTGTGGTTGTCTGCTACTCAAGCAACTAAGTGTATTCAGAAGGGTGGTCAGGCATATGCTGTTTTCTTTTCTGTTAGTACGGATAAAAAAGTTGGTATAGAGAAAATCGAGGTAGTAAAGGAGTTTCCTAAGGTATTTCCTGAGGAAGTGTCCGGTTTACCTCTTGAAAGGAAAGTTGAATTCTCCATTGAGCTAGTACCAGGGACAGCTCCAATTTCTAAAGCACCATTCAGAATGTCACCTTCTGAATTAGCAGAACTGAAAAAGCAAATCGAAGAGTTACTTGAAAAAGGGTTTATTAGACCAAGTGTCTCACCGTGGGGATCCCCAGTACTGTTTGTGAGAAAGAAGGATGGGAGCTTGAGATTGTGTATAGATTACAGGCAATTGAACAAAGTGACTATCAAGAACAAATATCCTTTGCCTAGGATTGATGACTTGCTAGATCAACTAATGGGGTCAGCAGTGTTTTCCAAGATTGACTTAAGGTCTGATATCATCAATTAAGAGTCAGAGCACAGGACATCCCAAAGACGGCCTTTCATACCAGATACGGATATTACGAGTTTCTAGTAATGCCTTTTGGTTTGACAAATGCTCCAGCGGTGTTTATGGACTATATGAACCAGATCTTTAGGCCGTATTTGTACAAGTTTATTGTGGTGTTTATAGATGATATCCTGATATACTCTAAGAATGAGGAAGAACACCGAGAACATCTTTACATTGCATTGCGAATATTGAGGGATCATCAGTTATATGCTAAGTTAAGCAAGTGCGAGTTCTGGCTTAGAGAAGTGAAGTTATTAGGCCATGTAGTATCTGCGGAGGGAGTAGCTATTGATCCTAGCAAGGTCAATGCTGTGTTGAAATGGGAAACACCAAAATCTGTGACAGAGGTAAGAAGTTTCGTGGGCTTAGCTGGGTATTACTGAAGATTCATCAAGGGATTTTCTCAGATCGCCATGCCTCTAACTAAGTTGACCAAGAAAGACCAACCGTTTATCTGGAACAAAAAGTGTGAGGCAGCTTTTCAAGAACTGAAGGCTAAGTTGACCACGGCACCAGTATTGACTATTCCAAATCCTAGTAAACCATACACCCTTTATACTGATGCTTCACTTAAGGGTTTAGGGTGTGTCCTGATGCAGGAAGGTAAAGTGGTTGCCTATGCATCTAGACAATTAAGGCCACATGAGGAAAATTATCCTACTCATGACCTGGAATTAGCTGCGGTGATTTTTGAATTGAAAATCTGGAGGCACTACTTATATGGATCACAGTTTGAAGTCTTCAGCGATCACAAGAGCCTGAAGTATTTAATAGATCAGAAGGAACTGAATAATAGACAACGTCGGTGGATGGAATTCATCAAGGACTATGACTTTGAGCTTAAGTATCATCCGGGTAAAGCCAATGTGCTTGCAGACGCTTTGAGTAGGAAAACAGTGCATGTTTTTCACATGAGTTTGGAGGAACACTACTGCTTAGAGAGATTGAGAGATCTCCAAGTGGTGCATGAGGCTCCAGCAACTCTACAATCAATTTTGGGTGATTATGAGTTCTTTCAAGACTTGAAGGCTGCACATATGGATGATGACCAGTTACTAAGCATCTGAGAGGAAGTAGAGACCCATGGTGTGCCTGATTATGAAATTGGTGAAGAAGGAATCCTGAGGTACAAGAAGAGGATTTGTGTCCCTAATAATGAGGAAATCAAAAGGACTATTCTAGAAGAGGCGCATCGAAGTAATTACACGATACACCCAGGGATAACCAAGATGTACCAAGACCTGAAAAAGAACTACTGGTGGCCAAAAATGAAGAGGGATGTCACGGATTTTGTAATGAAGTGTCTGACATGTCAAAAGGTCAAGATAGAACATCAGAGACCTCCAGGACTATTAAAGAATCTCGATATTCCCCAATGAAAATAGGACAGCATTTCTATGAATTTCATTACTGGTATGCCAAGAACCCCGGCTGGCTATGATGCGATATGGGTAATTGTAGATAGATTGACTAAGTCAGCGCACTTCCTACCTATCAAGAGTACTTACTCTTTAGAGAGATTAACAAAGCTATATATAGATGAGATTGTTTGACTTCATGGAGTGCCGGAGTCTATCATTTCAGATAGGGACTCGAGGTTTACATCGAACTTCTAGCAGTCATTACATGAAGCCATGGGCACTAAGCTCAAGTTTAGTACTGCTTATCATCCTCAGACTGATGGACAGACCGAGAGGACTATTCAGACTCTCGAGGACATGTTGAGGGCCTGCGCTATAGAGCTAAAGGGTAGTTGGGACACTCACTTATCATTAGCTGAGTTTGCCTATAACAACAACTATCACGCTAGCATTCAGATGGCACCATATGAGGCTTTATACGGGAGGAAATGTAGATCTCCACTTTGTTGGACTGAATTAAGTGAAAGAACAATTATTGGCCCAGATTTAGTGGACATCACAACCAGAAAGATTGAGCTGATCAAGCAGGAGTTTTTGATGGCCCAAAGTTGACAGAAGAGTTATGTGGATCCTCGGAGGAGACCTTTAGAATTTGAAGTGGGTGATCATGTATTTCTGAAGGTTTCACCTATCACCGGTGTTGGTAGATCCATTAAAGCCAAGAAGCTTACACCCCGATTTATGGGTCCTTATGAGATTTTGGAGCGGATTGGACCTGTTGCATATCGAATTGCGCTGCTGCCATATCTTTCCAGTTTACACGACGTGTTCCACGTGTCACAGTTGAAAAAGTATCACCCCGATCCGTCTCATGTTATTGAACCCGAAGAAGTCGAGTTGCGAGATAATTTGACCTATCCAACAGAACCAGAGCGGATTTTAGACGTTAAGGACAAACAATTGAGGAACAAAACTATCCGTCTTGTTAAGGTCTTTTGGAAGAGCATGAGTCCTAGTGATGCTACTTGGGAGACGGAGGAACGGATGCGTTACGAGTACCCTTACCTGTTTTCTTAGTAAGCACTTTGAGTTACTTTTGTTTTTATTTCTTGTGTGGTTGTTTGAATTTTGGGGACAAAATTCTAATTAGATGGGGAGAATTGTAATATCTTAAAGTTTATTTTAGGTTTAAAAAAATTCAAAAAAATAAATAAATATAAATAAAATAATAATATTTTAATTTAAATTTAAAAAAAAGAGTTAAAGTCAACTTTTCACCGAATATCGGTGGAAAGTTGAATGTGAATGTTGAAATTGAGGAGTGAAGGTTGAAAGATGAGAGTTGCAGTTGGGAGTTGGGAGTTGGGAGTTGGGAGTTGGGAGTTGGGAGATAATTATGAGGGGACCTAATACATGTGTGGGAGTGTTATTTTAACACTCCCCACAACCCAATTCCCCAGTGCAAGAAGGAAAGAGAGGAAGAGAGATTAGAGTGTACGTGAGAAAGAGGAGCATACCGGTGAAGCAGAGGGCAAGCTTTGAAGATATTTTAGGTACATAAAATTACTTCTTTTTATTAAAATTTCTTTATAAATATTTCCTGTATATTTTAAGCTTCCTATTTACATTATTACTATAGTGATTGGAGAAAATTTTGAGACTTATATATGATATAAGTATTGAGTTTTGATAAAAGATGACTATAGAAATTTAGAAGTAAATGAGTTATTAATTTTAATTGGTTTAGATTTGTCTATTTGTTAGTTTTAGTATTTAAATTAATTTATTTAGTTGAAAATCTGTTATTTATGGGATATACCATATTTTTACCGATTAAATTTAAGTTGAATAATTTATTTGGGTTGTTTGACATATTATTGAGATTTCAATCGGTTTAGTTTTATTTATTGGGTGACTGGAGGTTTTAAAATAATTATTGTAGGTAAAAAGTTTATAGAAATATATATATATATATATATGGTAGTTATACCATTAAATTTTTGATTAGATTATTTATTTATAAATATTTGAAATATTATTGAATTTTTGATAGTTTGATTTTGAGGTTTAAACTTAAAATGAGATTTTTTAGAATTTAGAACATAGTAATTTTATATTTGGAAATTGGGAAAAATTCTTTTTATTAAGGTGAATAATTTGGAGGTGGCAAATAAATAATTTGGCTTGTTAGAAAATTTTAAGTTATCTCTAAAATACTTAATAATTTTTTTGGGTTATGAGAGTTGCGTGAATTTAGAATAAAAATTTGATTAAATTAGAAATTTAAATGATATATAGAAGCTTAATTAATTAATTATTTAGTTTATATTAATATGTAGTTATATTAATTGTGTAGATTAATTATTGGTTGAGCAAAGGATTGACCTTGTGGTAATCCTTAGTATTGCTTTGGCGAGAGGTAACCACTTTCCACTTGTTATATGTGCTAATATGTTGTTTGTGAGTATTTTGTTATTTTTAAATAATATTTGTTATTTGGAACTCGAGTAGATATATTATACTTTTGAGCTATGAAAAATTGTCTTGTGGGATTTTTTTGGAATTGTGATTGAGAAGTTTTGAAAAGATATATGATTTATATCTTGTGGATTATACTGGAAAAGATTAAGACATTTTTGTTATATTGTGAATGGTTGGTTGTTGTTTAGATTTTGGACTGAACTCTATCCTACCACGTGGTAAGGCCGCCATTGGTGCATATTGGTGGGCTTCTTAGTCATCCCTCGAATAAGTGATAGACCTTTGTGGCTTTTTATTCGTCCCCCAATGTGTGGGATAGGCCTATAATAAGGGATGGACCTTTGTGACTACTTATTCGTCCCCCAAAGTGTGGGATAGGCCTATATGTCTGATTAATCCCCCATAGTGAGGGATAGACTTATATGGCTTGTGTGATAGCCCCCAAAGTGAGGGTTTGGATGATTGAAATTATATATCTATGTTTTCGAGAATTAATAACTGTCCCACTTGACACCCCACGAGCACGTGTTAGTGTGTATGATGCGTTGGAAAGTTGGTTACTGAGGCGTTTGTCTCACCCCGTGGTTTTTACTATTTTCAGGTGATAGTTTAGGTGGTGACTCATCAGGGAAAGCTCCGGAGGCATAGTGTGCTCTTACAGCTTGTATAGCCTTCCTGCTTTTGTTTTATGTGTTGACTTGTTATATATTGCCACATAGGGCCCATATACTCTAATGCTGTAAACTAATACTTTTAATTACTACTATCTGATCGGGGGGTCATTGAAAGGCCAGAGATATTTAAGACTTTGCGGATTACGCTCATTTGATAGTGTTGACTTTTGACTAATGGGCTTCATGACTTATATTAAAATGTTTTATTAGTTCGTGTGTTTGAAAGTATAAGTTTGGTTTGGGCTAACGATTGAATGATATTTCTAGACTTTAAAAGTCCAAGGCCCAAGTTAATGATTGATGTGGCTCGTAATATAAGTTTATTTCTTTTAACCATGATAGCAATTTTAAAATTTTAAGGTTTCTTCTTTTCTATCATGGTTAATCATTCAAATAAATTGTTGGATTTAAGCTAAAATGGTTTTGAAAGAACGGTTATCACAGACTACCCCGTCCCAATCTCGTCCTGATAATTGGGACAGGACGACTTTTCCAATTGGGACGGGACATAACTAGGACAGGACAAGGACGTCTCATTTTTTTTGTAATTTTTTTAATTTAAAAACTAACTATACAAGAAATATAAAAATTTATAATAAAAACTATGTGAGAAAAATAGATAAAAATGACAAAATACTGACAAAGAAAAATGTTTTTTGTAATCATGAGAGACAAAAAATAAACAAACATAAAATATTTACTACAAAGAATATCATGTAACTCATACAAAAACAACTTATAAACAAATAAAAAATAACAATTGATAAATATCATTGTCAAAATACTATTACAATGATAAATAAAATAAATATATAATAACTAAAAATAAAGATAATATATTGGGACGGGACCGGGACAGGACACCCCCGTCCCGCATCCCGTCCCGTCCTGTCCTGAAATAATTTTGTCTCGTCCCGCTTTCATCCCGTCTCAAAAGCTTTCAGGACAGGACTGTCCCGTTCCAAAATGACTAGGACAGAGACGGGACACAGGGACGGGACACAATTGAACACCCCTAATTCTTGTTGAAGCTTCAGAGCTTCACCCTCCGATCTTAATATATTTATTTGCAAATGTAATTTTTTTAGAACAATTATCCAAATAATTTTCTTTAATTTTTTGTTTCCATAACTTATTTTAAAAAATATTTTGATAAAATATTTTGAGACCAAAAAAAAAAAACACAGGCCCTAAATACCGTATGTTCATTTTGTATACAACACAAGAAGTATCAAGTAAAAATATATTTAATAAATACATAAAATCACTTTTGTGTCAATTTCTATTATGTGTGTATATATATATTTATGATTTTAACTTAAAATAAAAGGCATTGAGTTATTAAGCATATCTTTCCCATAATTTCCCTACTCCACATAATAATCATTAATAAGTCGCAATGTTAACAAACCGTGAATGATACGGCTTGTTTTAAGCCCCATACAATTACATGGAGCCCACTTCAATCAATTCAGAACACCAAATAAGATCATTGCAAATAAACATTTGCTCAGATACTATGAGAAGAGGATCCAGCGATAACATTTCAAAACATAGGAATCATTATCGAGCTACATAGCTTCAGAATCAGAAGATCGGCTAGTAGCTTGAGGGCAACAAGAGATGCAGCAAAATGACCACAAAAGCTTAGTAACAATCATCTGAGTCTGAGAAGATTGATCATTTGAAAAGGCTAAGAGTATCATATCCTTATTCCCAACATTAGCTGATTCAAGCCATGATGATCTCTGCAAATCACAGATGATTCCATCAACATAAACAGAAATTGCTCTCCCAAGAAGCTCCATTCCAGAAATTGGAGCATTGCTTGTCATCAGAGTCAGAGGATAGTCATTATTGTGCCGATCTCTTTGATTTATGGTGTCAGCAGAGTTCTTCTTCTTCTTTGTTACCGTGGAAAACTTGTTGTTATAAGCAGGGTAGTCTTCTTTCTTGAAATCAACACACTCTATAAGTCTCAGAAAGCTTAGATTCCCAAGTTTATTAATATTCCAGTTATTGAATGGTGGCGTGCTCTTGTGATTTACATGGATTTCACCATTGGGTCTGAGCATGCTCCTTGCATTCATAAAGAAACCGCGTACAAGGTTCTGATGTTTCCTGTGAATAAAATGTGCAAGAACAAGGACGCTAAAGCCTTAGCATACAACTAGGAAAGAATATAAAATCATGTCCCTTTTATATTAGATGGGCGTGCGGTGTAGAGCCAAATATCCTTCTCTGTTTACGGGGGGAGAGAGAGAGTGAGTGTGTGTGTGTGTGTGTGTGAGAACACATCTATCTAATGTGCACGTGCAAACAAACCCATGCATGCACACCCACATGCTTAAGTACACATCTCCCTATAAGATGCAAACCCATGCATGCACACATACACACACAACTACATGCATGCTAGCATGTGCATGTAACTACTATGCTCAGCAATATGCGTATGAGATCCATTATTATCTGGGGCATATATAAAACCCATATACGGTGTAGTTTCATGTATATCATTTTCCAGCTGTGTACAAATAAGAAGTTCCCACATGCTTGGAAAACTAAAATTCTCATACGCCAGAAAGTACCTTAGAAATTAAACAGAATAAGATATCAGAATTGGCACTTATTCTCCATTGAAAATCAGATTCTGAGGCACAGTAATGGTCAGGCACAATACAATCTTCCAGAAAGGGTATGAATCTTTTTCATTTATATTCTCTACATTAATCTAAAAACTTAGACAGTATAACTGCGGAAAGAACCCCAACAATGTTACATTTTCACACTATAAATCTGCCACATATCGATTATATATATGTTGACCATATAAATCATAAAGTTAGACACCAATAAAAAAAATTCGGTGTTCACAATGTTGCAACAATGAAATAGGTGTATATATGGACAATTAAGATA